TAGCAAACAAACTTATCTTGGGAAGTAATTATACTTTATGTGGTTGATTGTTATTCAAGATATGCATTTTTTATTACTATCTAGTGTTTTAAGTATTTATTTTAATATGAACCTTAAAATCTTACGATTTTACGATTTTAATCTACGATTTCGATTCTACCTCAGTTTTCGATTTTACTTAAAATCTAGATTTTGACTGCATTGTCTTTGTCATTCTTTGATCCTTTGTTATTCTTCTTGCCTTTCTCATCTTTGATCCCTTCTTCAATCGGCTTTGTTCATTGAACCATGTTGCCTCTCTTATTTTGTTCTTTGTCGAAACCCTTACGCTTCTTTTGATTGACATGAAATATTTGCAAGGAAAGGGACATCTTCGTTACTGCAGATAGATATCAGATCCTACATTTGCTACCATGCGTCCTGAGTCTGCATCGGCCATCAAGCTTCAAGTCTGATTTAATTGGATTTTTCTCTCCTTGTCATTCTTAGAAATTGGTTTTTTGTTGTTGTTGTTGCTTTAAGTCATTTGCTTACGCCTTTTTTTGCAGTGGGTATGGTTTCATGTGGTCTCCAATCCCTTCAAATGCTACTGAAAGTTCTTTTTCCAGTTTATAATAATTACTTTATTTTGTTGAGGAGCTCCATTAAAGGAAGCATGTGACCAATCCCAATGGCTATAGAAAGAAGACCAATATGCTTATAAAATTAGATTTAAAGCATTCAATTCATTCCATTGTCATATATAAGATAGTTGTCCAACTTGAATGATCTTTGCCTTTCGATATAGTTGTTTCTTTTGTTGTTTGGAGGGTGCTGCAAGTGCAGTGTTACTTTTACCAAGTTGGTCTCCTAGCATTATGGAGTGAAATTTACGTGGTTGTTCATCCCCTTCTTGATATAGTAGTTGCTTTAAATTGGTAGGTCTGGTCGCTTTTGGTTATATTCTCTTGATGTGTGTTCTTTCTTGTATTCCCTTTTCCTATGACAGATCACACATGTGCTTTCTTTTCTTTTCTTTATCCTTATCATTCTGTAGCTATGGAGTATTGCAGGGTGTTACTATTATTTAGCAGCATTCTACTTCCAATGATTTAGCTATATGGAGGGGTTGTAATGTTCTAAACTCATGTTCAGGAACTGCTTGTAAACCCAACTTTCGGTCTCTTGTACGATTGTACCTGTCCAGTCTGCAAATGGTTCATTGTGATGTTCATGGAGATGAATGGTGATTTCAAAGAAACAGGGTATTGAATGACGCCAACTGATGTAGTCAATTAGGTAAGAGGCTTGGGTTTTGGGGTCTGGGGAAAATGGTATGCTTTCTTAACTCTTTTTTTCCTACTGCGAAGTTCCATGATTTGGTTAAATGATTGCTGAAATTTGTTTGCTAAAATCTACAAGGTGAAGACATCTCTATAGCTGCAGCAAGAGAAATGAAAGAAGAAACAGGAGTAAGTAGATTAGAAAAGCTTCTCAGAATCTTTCCAATCACAAAATGCCTTCTCTTTTACTGATCTAGGATCTTGTGGTTTCTCATTTTATGGATTGACATTAATTTTTTGAGTTCTACGGGGGCTTGTGTGTGTGATTTCCTGATTGGGAAGATCTAATTTTTGTAACTTTTCTATTATGATATAGGCGTGCAACAAAAGAGTGCCTGAAATGAAGGGCGAGTGACAAGAAGAGTAATTGAGCACATTTGTCAAAAGTGATTACTCATCACAAGAAAGCTTGCAATTGATATTCGTTGAAAGTAACAAGGTTACTATGACCAGAAAGTCTTGTTTTATAAGTTGCATCAATAGATCATAAGAATAATATCAACGAGTAACATTGATTTCTCAAACCAAAGGTGTTCGATCTTAATTACACATATAAGAGATCTACTTGCGTGGTTGATGTCCTCCATAACAATAACTGGATTGCTCATGAATCGTGATCTTTGATGATGTAATGGTCATTCTTGTAGAGCCATTATAACACCTACATTCCCAAGACAAATAATTTAATTAGTCAAGCGAAATCTAATGATTAAATCATACTTTCGTCACGGTAACTTTCACGTGTTTAATGCACATTCACGGGAACTACTGTGACTGAACAGACCATTGGCCATGGGGTTCTTCCCTTTATTGGATCTTTTTAGTCATGGGATTTCCCGTGACTATGGATATTCAATCACGGGCATGCTTGACACGGGACATACCCGTAACTAAAGGATTCGGTAACGGGAATTGGTTGTTTCGTCTTGGGAAATCCTGTAATTGAAAGTGAATTTTCCTGTAGTGTCGCTGGCCAGTGGCCAGCAGCAATTCGCACCTACAGACCAAGCGCCAAGGCCCTCCATTCAGCTACCTACAAAGCAAACTGTCGAACAAAATATGGAATAGAATTTTGTGTCCTCATGTACAACCTGGTTCCTTAATTTTCAAATTATCCATAACATAGCGATCACTCGCATCACATGATCTGTTGATCCGTCTCGCTCCAATAATTGTCCTAAAAGAGACTTAAGTGCGCTCTATTTAATTCACTCATTTGATGATTCAAAGTTGTTTCCTCTAACGATGCCAACACAATAGGAAATTCTAGGAATAAGTGTTTCACTGGATCTGGCTCCCTAACACATGGGATATCAAGGTAAGCTATTAACACCCCTCAAATGCAAGGATTTCGTACACGCCATAATTTGGTGCAATGTTTGCCAAACAAAGAACTTAAGTTTAGGGGCACCCTGAGCCTCCCAAACTAAACCCAAAAATTTACATATCCTATTGAGACCTCGTTCCTAGTTTCATATTATCTCATATTCAAGCTAAAAGCCAGCTGATACCCCAAATCTTTATATACCCTAGTTAGCTCCTCCGACCACACTCTCCGATTCCGAATAGAATTTCGCGACAAAGGAATTGCTAAAATTGTGTTCACGTCTTCCCCATGGAAGCAAGTAGAGAGACAAACAATGCACCATTCTCGTAACTATTGATTAATCAATGAATCCACCATGTCATCGCCCTAAAGCAACAACGTAGGCAGTAAACGCAATGTACGATGATGAAGTTGGGGAACCCAAATCTCACCAAGTATCTTGAAATTCTCCTCATACCCACTTGCCAACAAAGCCCCTCTTTCAATAGTTCTCTACCCCAAAGCACACTCTTCCAATCCCAAGCTTGGCGTGATCTAGGCCGAGCCTATAAAAAAGTCTTGTTAGAAAAATATTTGCTTCGGTACATTTGTGTTAATAAGGACTATAAGACTCTATTTTGGCCAACAATGCATGATTGAAAACTTCAATTCGGCAGAATCTCAACCCACCATTGTGCTTACTATAATAAGCATTGCCATGAGAGCTAGTATATGGCACCTTGTCCCTATTTCATCCCTCACGAAAACCAAGTTATATATCGAGCTTTATGCACGAATTCCTTGGTAACAAAAGCATCACACAATATGGATAGACATCACAGTAGCCATTGGTTTTAACAGAGTTTCCTTTGATGCCCACGATAAATGTCGTTGTTTCCATCCTTACATTTTACCAATCAATTTCTCCTCTTGTTACCAAAATTTATTTGTCTTTGAAGTTTGAACTGTCAATCAATGCAAGTAATCCTAATACTTATCTAGCACCCCAATCGTCCCCCCCCCCTAACAAGTTGCCATCACAATACAATCACCCGAATCCAAGTTCCGACTAAAACACACTGGTGAAATTGACAAATTCACTCATTGCCCACTCAATTCCTCATATTCTTTGAATACCTTTAAATGATTATCAAATTCTTGCATGCTACCAAATACAATCAAAGACTGGCTTCTATGTAAAAGTGAAATGATAGGTAAAAGTGGAAGCTAAAAAAACACAAAAGTGTAACCTTTTAAACATTCTATAATCTTGATAGGAAATTTTTAACAATAAATTTTATTTTGTAAAACATAAAAAAAAATTAAGCTAGATCACGTATTAAAGATCACTCTCACACACATAAACCAGTCATGTCTTTATTTCCTGTTATGTTTTCTTTGTCAAGTCTCGATTTCCTGGTGTCGATTCTTCATTTGTCCCTCTCGATGCTGCATCATCCACTACCTTGTTGCTCACTTCCACAATACCTCTTGTCTCCTTCATTCTTTGTCATGTCCGTGTCTCCCCTCCTTCCTTGTCATCACCACCGTCTTAATAGCATCCCCCCGCATACCTCACATGGACGGATCGACCGCCTCCTCCACCTCGGCATTCTATGAAGACTCGGGCCAAGAGTAATATTATTAAACCAAGTATGCTTCTATTGCTACTTCGTAGGTGTCACCTCCTACTGAGCCGCATTCTGCTAAAGAGGCTCTTCGACATGCGGTATGGCACGCAGCACTACAGACTGAACATGGCGCTTTGTTAGCCAACCCCACCTAGGACCTCGTTCCCCATCTTCCCCACTATAATGTTGTTGGATGTTGTTGGATCTTTCGCATCAAATGGCGTCCTTATGGCGGTATTGAACGTTTTAAGGACCATCAGGTTGCCAAAGGGTTTCATCAGCGTGCTAACGTTAACTTCCATGAGACATTCAGCCATGTTCTCAAGCCAGTTACAGCGCATACTGTCTTCATCCTTGCTCTCTCTTCCAACTGGCCGATTTATCAGTTCGATGTCAACAATGCGTTCCTTCAAGGACCGCTACAGGAAGAAGTCTACATGACTCAGCCACCCGGCTTCCAGGATCCTACCTATCCCAAGCATGTGTGTCGTCTACGCTAAGCCATTTATGGCCTCCGTCAGGCTCCTCGTGCATGGTATGATGCACTCAGTGCCTTTCTCACTTCCTGTGGTTTTGTCAAGACTTGCTCAGATGCTTCGCTGTTTGTGTACTTCTAGAATGGAGTTCAGGCATACTTTCTAATGTATGTCGATGATCTGCTGCTTACGGGTAATGATGCTTCCTTTCTAAGCTCCTTCCAAGACAAGCTCTCGGCCAACTTCTCTCTAAAACAGCTCGGCCATGTTCACTACTTCCTCAGCATGGAAGTCATCCCATACTACTTTCGGGTTTATGCTCTCTCAACATAAATACATCAATGATCTTCTTACTCGATTTCAGATGCATGAGGCTCGCCCTACTCCTACACCACTCACGTCTACAACACGCCTCACTCTCTCCACAGGGACTCAGCCAGCTGATGCAACTCTCTATCGCCAGGTGGTTGGGGCGCTTCAGTACCTCGTCACTACGTTCCCGGATGTGTCTTTTGTGGTTAACAAGTTGTCTCAATACATGCATGCACCCACGAACGAGCACTGGCAGCATGTGAAAAGACTTCCTCGTTATATTGCGGGAACTCGCACAGTTGGTCTCCAGATTCGGCGGCAGTCCACTCCTCTCCCACTTCGTGTGTTTTCTGACTCCAACTTGGCTGGTGATCTTGAGGATCGCACTTCTACCTCGGGGTTCTTGATCTATCTAGGCGACACTCTCGTATCATAGAAGTCCAAGAAGCAACGCACTGTTGCTCGTTCTAGCACTAAGGCCGAATATCGTGCTCTTGCTTTGACTGCTTCTGAGACTGTCTGGATCCAAAATCTACTCACGAAACTGCACTATCATCTGCCCAAGGCGCCAACCATTGTTTGTGATAATCTTGGGGCGATCCGCTTTAGCTCTAATCCACTTTTCCACTCTCGTATAAATCATCTCGCTCTCGACTATAACTTTTTGCGTCAACTGGTCACTTCCAAAGCTCTTCAACTTCGTCATGTGCCCACTGCATCTCATTTAGCTTATGTTCTCACAAAAGCATTTCCATCCACTCGATTTTTTCTTTTGCGTTCCAAGATCGGTGTTGCTGACGCGTCGTCCATCTTGCGGGGGCGTATTAGGGAGAAATCCCCTTAGTTATTGTATTACTTGTATACAAGTCATCCTTCTCCTACTTGTACTAGTAATCAACTGCCTTGTACACACGTATAAATATACGGCTCATCAATAATACAACACACTGTTCATTGCAATCCTCCCAATAACAACCTCTCTACCGGCAAAAATCCCAGACCTGTAGCAGATGTCTAGTAAGGTGTCACGAACGAGGTTATGGCAATGCTTAATGTCTACGGTACAAGCACATGACACAACATGATCTCCAAAGATATCACCATGAAAGACACGGGAACAAGCAGGATAAGGCTTAGATATCAAAAACAACAGGACACCCAGTTGATAACTAAGCACACTATGGTATGTCCTCCCATTAATAGTCCGCCTCAAACTAGCAATAGGAACAACGCACAACCAATTAGAAGAGTGGGCCCTCTGCTGAGACTTTAACAACGCCACCATATGCGTAGTCAACGATAAAACATAATCTAAAGTAGCAGCAACCTTCGAGAAATATATGTTGGTCAATTTCTTCATAAGTTTTGGGGCATCAACTCCACTAGGGTCACGTAAGAGATTAGAATATGTAAACTCATTAAAGGTGTGTAGGGCATCACCAAAAGCAGGACCAGGAGATAGGATACCCGAAGGACCTAAAAGTTTAGCTTGCAACTCCGCAGACTGCAAACGAGATGCCAAAAAAACATAATTCAGGACATCTCCAGCAGCATAAACCCCAAGCCCTCCTGAATGAAAAAGGAAGGTGGCAAGTCTCAACTGCCAATCGCCAAACTCATTTTGTATATTATTAATAATTTCTTTCACAAAAATTAACAAAAAATTGTATATCATCCATAAAATGTTTCAAAATGACAATTATATTATTCTATATTATCAATAATTGATTTCACAAACATTAATAAAAAAAATTATATCATTAATAATTTTTAGAATAAATTCGTAACATTGTTGTATACTGTTATTAGTTCGTTCTACAAACGTTAACAACCATATTGTAATCATAAAAAATTTGTGTCGAAAAGTTAATTACGACATTGTATATCATCAATGAGGTGGGTCGGGACGGGTTCCTCAAAATCCATACCAATCCCGCACTAATCGTGAGTTAAGACTCGGGTAATACCTATGAGGGTTTGAAGCATGACAGGTTGATCCATTCTTATATGTGATATGAAGCAAAAAAAATTGATATTTAACTATTTGACAAGAAGGCAAAGAGAAAACACTTTATAAATAATTTGGAGATATAGTAGGAGTAATTAAGTCCAAATAGTTGAAAGAAGGAGTCTTCAAATATCTTTGGGCCAACTTATGGTTTTGGGAAGGTCAAAATAGAAGAAAAACAAGTAGATATTGATGCAAATCATTATAGAACAAGCTGAGAATGGGTTGGGACAGGACGAGAAAGGTAAGTAGTAGTTATATCCTGCCCTACACTACTGCAGATTTGGTAATTGATAAACGAGCAATAAAGAGATAGATAAACACACAAGCACACCGATTTTACATGGTATCCTCAACGAGTATCGTTGAGACTAATCTGCAGAGAGGAGCAACATCTCAGAGTCAATTGTATTATCCGAGAATATTAGGTCACAAAATCCTCTAACATCACCTATTTATCATAGCCGAATGACCCTATCTCAAGGATAAAACATAATTCACCAATACTTCTAACACAAGGATTAAGGGCTAATTACAATTGACACCCAATACTATTAACACCCTCACTCAAATTGATTATGCTTACACAACATCAATTTGTATGCCAAAAACCAATGTCGGGAGGTCGCCACTGCCTTCGTCAGTAGGCTGCAGTCTGTTCTTCCGGTGGAATGTAGGACAACTCAATCACACGCTCAGAAACCAATTGGCGAATATAGTGAACATGTACTTCAATATGCTTTGTGTGATCATGAAGTACATGATTCATGGCAATGCGAATCACACTAGTGTTATCATCATATAAGCGCATGGGAACCACACAAGACACACCAAGTTCTTGGACAAAAGGTCGTAGCCACACTAGTTCAGAAGTCACTTCAGACATCGAGCGATACTTAGCCTCAGTTGAAGATTTGGAAACCCTCTCCTGTTTCTTAGAACGTCGTGTATCAAGGCAACCAGCATAATCAACATTGGCATAAGCCTCAATCACAGGATCACTAGTCGAAGGGAAGAACAACCCAACATCAGCCGTCCCGCGGAGATACCATAATAGGCGAGTCACTGCCCTCATGTGAGTAGTTCTAGGAGCCTCCATAAACTGACTGACGACTTGTACTACATAGGAGATGTCTGGATGAGTATGGGTGAGATAAATCAAACTCACAACCAGACTGCGAAGGAGGAACTGTCAGAAAGTAAGTCACCATCAGGTTGACACATCTTCAAGTTCTGTTCCATCGGACTTGCGCAAGGCTCACATTCGTCCATATGAGCTGTTTCCAAGAGATCTACAATATATTTTTGCTGACTGACTAACAATCCAGGAGAAGAATGATGAATCTCAAGACCCAGGAAATAAGAGGAATCTCCAAGTTCCTTCAAGTTAAATGCTGCATGAAGACTGTTAGTAAGCTCTTGAATACCAGCAACATCATCACCACTTACTAACATAACATCAGCATAGATAAGAAAAATGGTAATGCCACGATCGGTGCGCTGAAGGAACAATGACGGGTCATTATTACTCTAACTGAAACCATCTAACAGAATAGTATCATGAAACTTCTCGAACCACGCCCGCGGGGACTATTTCAAGCCATAAAGAGACCGACGAAGCAAACATACCTTGGATTTGTCACCTGATAAATAACCCGGAGGACATTCCATATATATCGTCTCCTTCCAATCCCCATGATGAAAACATTACTCACATCCAGTTTCTTCCCCTTCATTGTCGCCACAGTGAGTTAATGTCCGGACAGTCTGCATCTTAGCAACTGGAGAGAAAGTTTCATCATAGTCAATTATGAATTGCTGTCTAAACCGCTAAGCCACCACTCGCGCCTTAAATTGCTCTAGAGAGCCATCGGGATGTAGCTTGACATTATAGACCCACTTGGAACCAAAGACAGGAGCATCGAAAGGATGGGGAACAATATCCCAAGTGTGATTCGCCTCAAGCGCCCGGACCTCCATAGTCATAGCAGCGTCCCAGTGAGGGTTCCCTCGAGCTTGCTTATACGTCGCTGGAACAGGAATATGCGACGTTGAGAACGCCACAAAATGGAACATATACGATGCAAATTGTCCCTTCGTGGCACGCAGCGACCGACGCAACTGGGGCATTTCTTCTTTCTCAACTAGATGCTAGTCCACCGTAGGAGAAGACCATAGCACGAGATGTGTTCGAGAAACACAACATTACAAGAAATGCAAACCCGACGATTAGCCACATCATAACAAACATAGCCGTTTTGTTTGTCACTGTACCCGAGAAACACACACTTCACATCTTTGGGAGATAGCTTGTGACGCTCACGACTAGGAAGCAGGATATAACAAACACATCCAAACACATGGAGTTCCTTGTAGGCGGGTTTCCTTACAAAGAGAACTTCATAGGGACTCCGCTGGCCAAGGATAGGAGTAAATTGTCTGTTAATTAAATAGACAACCGTGTGCATCGCTTCCACCCAGAAGGAGGATGGAAAACAAGACTGAAAGAGAAGTGCACGAGTCAACTCTAGAACATGACGATGCTTACGTTCAACCAATCCATTCTGTTACGAAACACCGGGACATGAATGTTGAGGTAAGATGCCATATTCTTTAAAGACTTCCTGCAGAGGGCCCGATATAAATTCGCCACCAGGATCAGATAGCGCTATCTTTACAATCTTACAAACGGCGTTTTAACCATCTGGATGAATTCCTTAGCCACCTTAAGTAAATCAGATTTGTGACGAAGGAAGTAAACCAACGCAAATATGGAGTATGATCCATAAACAATGCAAAATAAAAAAAACCAACCCGACACGTCACAGGTGAGGGACCCAACAAATCAGTATGGACTAAATCAAATGGATCTGTATAAACTGTAACACTCGGCGCAAATGACTGTTGAGATAATTTTGCCTCAATGCAATGAACACAATCACGAGAATCCGAAGCTAAACTACCAGATAATAAATTATACTTAAACATCTCCAACAAACAAGCCGAATCGGGATGGCCTAATAAACGGTGCAATAAATCCCAGTTTGAAAGTTTAACAGAATATCCAAATTGATCAAAACCAAAACCACCCTCCAAGCTAGCATCCCTTCGAACAGCACCCGAACCTCCTCCACTGGAAGCAACGTCCCCTTGCTCCAGTGACCCAGAATAGCTATCCAAAGTGAACACACACATGACCTTAGTCCCTCGGCCGATCTCTCTCCATGTGTTCATGTCCTGCATAACACAACCACAACCATCAAAGGTAACACGACACCCCTCTTCTGCAAGCTGCCCCATAGAGACGAGACTAGGAACAAGTTTAGGCACATAGAGCAAATCGGAAAGGCAAACACTAGGCTGCTCAATATCACCAATCCCCTGAGAAGGCTGCTCAATATCAGTCATGTGATTAAAAGCTGCAGACT